CGGCGACCGTCGAATTTCAAATCGTAAGGCTTTGAAAAACGCATGTTCTCGCCGTCTTAGGCCTAAGGCATACCTCGCGCGATTCGGCCAAATCGCGACGTTCACGCGACCTGGCAGTTTGCCAGATTCCTCCAAATTCATCGTGCGCGGTCCTTCAATGCATAGGCGCGTAGCTTCTGTAATTTGTTGCAAACAGATCAATTCCTGCCTAAAGCGCTCTGACGACCAATTATAAGCAGTCGTTCCGGTACCAAATCGCGCAGCGACTGAAATCGCGTTAGGTATGCCTTAGGCCTTACACCTTCTAATGTGGATTTTCATACTCAGCGTTGCGGATAACCCCGGTAAGTGGATTTTCTAGAAATCGAGTTTTTGCCCAATAATGTTTTTAGGAACTGGTTAATAGAATGTAGGGTGTAGATTTTTCAATCTCTTCGGAATCAGATCATCGCTTGTGCAAGGCTTTACTTTCACGACAAAGATCTAGAAATTGTTGTCCTGCAATATAAATAGCTGGGTTTGTTTTTATCCGAGCTCGGGGTGGCGAGGTACCACCATTGACACATGGAAGACTACGAACGTTTTGTTGTCCACATTCACTGTCATCAGAGAACGTTGAGCTGAGACAATAATGATCCAAAACTATTGCAGACTGACTTCGAGCTTGCGAGGCGGCAGAGCGGCTGAATGACAGAACCCAACTATTGAACAAATCACTTCACACCAATTGAATAAAGTACCATTGATGGTAAACCGCTGAAATTGAAAAGATTATACTATGCCCAAGCCCACCAGCTTCAAAAACACAGTGGCGTACTTCTCAGCACGAGGCAAAAAGGTTCTCCACAGCTTTTACTCGAAATTTCACATATCCAACTTTTCACCATATAATAAAGATGCCTGCGCTGCATTTTTAGTAACGGCAGACCCCGATTTTGAAACGATCAAACCAGAAGGTCAGGACAATTTCTTACCAGCTAAGACTTTGGACGGCAGATCAATCCAATAAAAGATTAGCAAAACGTGTAGCTTTACAAGAGAGAATACACGCAACATTTGCAGCTCTTCCTATATGTACAAGCTGGGCAAGTACGTTGACCGCACATGAAAGGTGTCAAGGCTCAAGGATGTGTCTCAAAAGCATACAATGCTGTTCTTTCACCTTCACCCTTAAGGCCCCGGACAGACTTCACGCGATTTGATCGTCGCGACTCAATCGCCGACATTTCCATTCATTCTCATTTCACATTCAACAATTTCGGGCTGGAAAAGTATCACAACCGGAATGTAAGTTGATCGGCATGGAATGATGTTGTAACAGTTGTCTCGTCGCGATTCAGTCGCGACGATCAAATCGCGTGAAGTCTGTCCGGGGCCTAACATGGCCTTAGGTCAGCTCGAACAGAAGTTTTCTTTTGTGCTATAGCAGGGTACTAATCAATATCAAAACCAATCGCGAAAAGCACAGCTGTCATTCACCCATCAACAAAAAGTTCATTTATTTGCTTTTTTGTTTTCCTTCCACCCAGAAAACTGGGGTGCGTAGCAAGTGGTACCCAGGCAGCCGACTGCTGCCGCAGCCAGCCGTCAGAGCTGGCGTCAGCGCCATCGCATATCAATAGATACCTATATCAATACTTATATAATATTTGAATAAGCACTTTTTTTATGACCGGCCTGAAATGGTAGAAAGAATCAAGGATCTGGGTGGGGCGGGTGTCACTAAGCTTTTTCACCGAAAATCGCCGAGTGGCGTTATCGATTTATCGATTTTTTGCGTTTTTTGCCTAGCAATTTCGTTATGACCGGCCTAAAATGTCAGAAAACTTCATTAAGTTTAAACGAAACTTTGCACACATGAACTTCGGGGTGGGGCGGTTGTCACTAAGCTTTTTCAGCGAAAATCGCCAAGTGGCGCTATCGATTTATCGGTTTTTTTTTGCGTTTTTTGCCTAGCAATTTCGTTATGACCGGCCTAAAATGTTAGAAAACTTCATTAAATTCAAACGAAACTTTGTACACGTGAACTTCGGGGTGGGGCCGGTGTCACTAAGCTTTTTCACCATAGGGGTTATCGATTTATCGAATTTTGGGTTTCAATCTTTGTTGAGCGAAAACTGGCAGGAAGGGATAGCTAAGCATGGTCAAATCGAATGAATTATCTACAACTTTAACCACTAAACTTTTTAAACCTTTTTTCTTAATTTTTTGGAGGCTAGCTGATATTCTGGAGGCTAGGTGATATTTAACTATGCATTCACCTTTCGCAACGGGTTTCGTCGACTGCATGGCTCATCAACAAAATCAAAATGGTTCATCCGCGAGATCAAATATGACCACCAAATCAAAATACCCTATCCCGGCCTTACGGTTCATTCATACCATGCCTTCGGTGCCATCAGTCGTACCTCCTTCGACTACTTTTACACCCGAGACATGGCGCCGATATTGACCTTTAGCAATGGACCCTCCACCTCCACACCTCCGTCGCAGGTGCATATCGCCGAATCCGAGCCCGTACTGCAAGGCGCACTTCTGAAGCCAGCGTAGCCGTCTTCGTCGTAGCCGAGAAATACAGAGGCACGAGAACGGCGTCTTGCCTCAATGCGTGAACGTCATCTTCGTCGACGGCAACAAGAACCACAGCTTAACAGACGCCTTCAGGAGACACTGGATCAATCCAGGCATGGTGTAAGCCCAGAACGGGTTGGCCAACGACGACACGAGCCAATCGACGAGAACACAGCACAAACGATCTTTGCGCTTGACTCGCGGCAACAAGTGATGTTTGAACCGGCACCTACCTCCACCCCCATTCCGCAGATGCACATTGCGCAAAGAACTCGAGCACGTGGCACAATGCGGAGCTCCGTAAGTGCACATAACCGTCTTCATCATGGCCAGGAAGCACCAGAGGCCCAAGAAGAGCTTGCCCCGGTGCATATAAGTTACCTTCGTTGTCGCCAGCACTACCACTTTTCAAAAAGATATAGATTAGATATATAGATTAGATTTATAGATTTGATTTACCCCTTTTTTATGTTCGTTCACGATGAATAGAAAAAGGATCATAGGATTTAAGGCAGATTTGGCAGACGTAATGCATGGTGTGCGCCGTTGTTAATAAGCCATTTGTTCGATACACACGGTTTGTTGCTATCGACTTATGGATTTTTGCACTTTTTGCCTAGAAATTATCTTTGCTTGAAAACGATAGAAGGAGTTATGGAATATAGACCAAATTTGCCAGGCATAACGCATGGGTGGGATGTGTTTTAATGAGCCGTTTGTTCAACTATAATGATCGACCCTTTCAATTTATTGATTTTTCGCAGTTCGCGTAGCATCCATTGCTTAGTGTTAATTCGAAATAAACTGACAAAGCCGAAATTGTCCACGGTTGTTCTTTCTGCGCCGTTATAAACGAAGTAGTTCGTGCAAAATGGCAAATTTTCTGCATTTCACTTTCAATAAAGAACAAAACGAAAGATTTACCGGAAGCGAAGCTGCCGTGTACCAGCCGAACCTGCGCGTAGCGGCAGAGAGCGGCTGGTATATATATATATATATAATATATATATATATATACGAAAGTAAAGGCCGCATATCCGGACATCGCAGAGCTCGGCACGAGGTGGCTTTTTCAATTTTTGAGGACAAAATCCCTGTAGACTTTGCCACGAAATTGCGACATTCCTTATGACATGCTCTTTAATGGACTATACAAGAATAACAAAGATTAAAGGATAAAGGATACAGGATTCGGCGTCTTCAGTACCCTTTGAGGGCATGCGCCGAACGCACACACTAGATTCATAGTCGAAGAGGCAATTGTATCGTGCGAGCCTATTACAGTGACTTGCGGGGGCCAGCCGTTTCCAAGTCAGTGCTTTTATCCTCCCAGATTACTCTGGTACCAATTTACCGGCCCCGGGGGGTAGAGGGCTTGGTTGGCCCAGGGGCGGGGATCGAACCTGTGTCCGATCTGGTCATAGCGGCGCCTCATACCACTACGCCACTCGTCCCCCATAACAAACATTAGTAAAACAATAGTAGTAAAGTTGAAAATACGGAAACAACATTAAACAAAGGATGAAAAAAATCATGATGTTGTTCGTATTCTCCGATGGCGGCATGCTGTGTCCGGTGAGCGCCGCCGCCGCCATCCAAAAATTTTGAAGGGTTTTGACTAGGAGGGGATGAGGGGGCTTGGAGAGTTTCAAAAACTAGTTTGTAGCGTTTTTGATGTCAATCAAGGCTATGTAGGAAAATGGGAGAAAATTATGTGAAAAGAGGTAAAATTATGACTTGGTTTTCCCTGAGTCACCTCAGGTGGCTTTCTAAATGGCTCGAAAGCCCTGGAGAGCGCTCTTGTGAATCTATAACAAAACTGGGCTTTTCATTGTTCCTATCGCGAGCGCGCTTGTAAAAAGGGTACCTTCGACTGATGATACTGTTTAATCAGTACGTTATGTGGAGGAGGAGACGAGCCATCAAGGAGGTATCGGAGAACGGTTGCCCATCAGCTTTAGAATGTTGGAAATGTTTAGTTAAATACTCCGGAGCGATATGGATGCCGCATTTCTCTTTGGAACTTCCAAATTCCTTGATTACTTGTCCACAACTAATTAATTAGATAATAGTGAAATTCTCTATGTTTCTTTGTAGAGATCATTTATAAAACCTTGACGACGAATTTGACTGCGGTGTTTGCTTCCAGAAGAGCTTAAAATACTTATACAAACAGGTATCACCTCAACGCTCAGTTCAGTCACTTTCAGTGTCTGATTACTATCGTATGCAAGCAGAAAAATCATTCGCCTAGAGAATGAAACCAAGAGAATGCGGTTTCTGGAAGTGCGTGTGTGTCGCGCGCGATAGCGCCACCGTCACGATTTCTCGAATGCGCTATACATCTCATCGCACCACAGAATCCTCAATGACCAAACCCAATTAACTGACACGGAGCAGCCATGGGAAACAACGATTTGTTTTTTCAGATTCAGTCGATTTCGAGAAAAAACCTTTGTTTGCGATGTGTGTGAGGCGGCGTTCACCTTGAAGCAAAACGTACAATCACATCTGTTTATCTACCATGTACAAAAGGATGGATCTTTGAAACCCCATACTCGGCTAATGTACAAGTGCGACAACTGTGACAAGGTGAGCAGAAGCTAATTCGTATTTTTTGAGTTATCAAACTGTATTCAATTGATGTCAGTTGGTGATAAGAAAGCGTAGAAGAGTACTCCGTGTTTTTATAACCTTTGCAATTATACGCCAAACACATGAGTCGAAGATCTTACCGGGCACGAGTACTCCAGTAACTTGCGGTATCTACCGACTATAGGTCAATACTTGGGTTCCTAGATTGCTGGAATAGCACTTTGCCCTTCCCGAAAGGCAGATCTCGGCACAAGTTGACAGCTAGAAATTTGAAGACGAAGTCCACACTTAGTTCGCAAAACATCACGAATTTCCTTTGATGTCAGACCAAGTGGAAAATGCCTCTTATTTGCTTCACGAGAAGAAATCGATGACAATAAGCAACCTTGAGCGTACTGGTGTGGCTTAGAGCAGGGAGAATACTCTGACAAGGGAGGTTCGGTTAGTCGAAGTGGCCTTTCCAAATGAGTCTTATATCACTTTGAAGAGCCTCAAACGGTGATTCCAAATCTGATTTCATTATCTGCCAAGCACCTCTGCATGCCAAGTCATTTATTTATTTTATTGAATGCACAGTGCGCCCATCATAAAACAGTAGAAAACCAAGCAGTAATCAGTAAGGAAAAAAAGAAAAATGAAGCACTAAATATGGGCAGGAACTTAAAAGCAGTACTGGTAAAAAAAATCTCAAGCAGCACTCATTTAGGTACGTACAGTGCTGGCCATATTTATAAAGCCACTCTAGAAATCGTCGTAATTTTCGTTCTTGTCAATGAATCTGTCTGAAACTTTGCTGTATTGTGCGCATGCCAACCTACCATGGCCCCTCAAAACGGCTTCCAGTCTTGTTAAGTTTGAACGGAAAAAAACGAAAAAATTTGAGAATGTCCTCAATAAAAGCTGGACAAATTTATAAAGCCACCTGGTTTTTCTAATCACAATCGCATTCGTTGACTCTCAAATTTTTTTGTACAATTATATCCCAAAATATGAAATATTTACAACACCTACGGCCTTCATCCTACTCAAATAGAAACGATCACTGCATTTTTTGCTTTCAAAAGCATCAAAAGTCAATCTGCTTCAACAAGAAGCTGGTTTGACTAGTTTTCAAGATCTTGTTTATTTCAAATGATAGCATTAAAATCTACTGAGCATTTTCGATAGAGGTGAGGAGCGCTTCCATAAACTCTGCGTAATCGCTGATATTGACGGACAAACCTCAACCTCACCATAGGGTTGACTACTTTTGCACCACAAAACTCTGTTTTCAAGCAACAGAAAATACTGTAATGTAGCCATTACGACAGCCATACAAGAGTGAACTTGTGCACATGGCAAGGAAAAACTTCGGGATTGAGCCCTCTGGTTCAGCCGCAGTTGGCATCCACTGAATGTTGAGTGGAGCTCCCTGCACAATCAAGCCAACTCAGATCACGAGATAAAACGGGAGACGCTTAAACTTCAAAATCTTAGCTAATCTCATTCATTGGGTGAAATATGACATGGAACACAGAGGGAAATAAGCAGATCTAGGGTTATATCGAATCTTCTGCTCGCAGGGAATTTTCGTTAAAAGTTTTTCAGTTCTAAATCGCAACTGCATCACTAGGGAAAATCAGAAGTTGTTGCAAAAGCTGCATCACCATGTAGGCAGTGTGATAAGTCAAATCCAGCGTTTTATGAACATTGCAAGCAGAGTAGTAAAAAAGTAACAACCTTATGGTGAGGTGGAGTCTGTCCGCCAATATCAGCGATTACGCAGAGTTTATGAAAGCGCTCCTCACCTCATCTATCATGCTCAGTAGATTTTATTGCTATCATTGAAATAAGGGCTTGAAAACTCCTAATCAACTCCTTGTTAAAGCAGATTGACTTTTGATGTTTTTGAAAGCAAAAAGTGCAGTGATCGCTTCTATTTGAGTAGGATGACAAACCGTAGGTGTTGCAAATGTTTCATATTTTGGGATGTAATTGTACAAAGAATTTGAGAGTGAACGAATGCGATAGTGATTAGAAAAACCAGGTGGTTTTATAATTTTGTTCAGCTTTCATTAAGGGCTTTTTCTTTTTCGTTTTTCCTCTTTCAAACCAACAAGACTGGAAGCCATTATGAGAAGTCATGGTAGTTTGGCATGCGCACAATACAGCAAAGTTTCGGACAGATTCATTGACAAGAACGAAAATTACGACGATTTCTAGATTGGCTTTATAATTATGTCTAGCACAATATGAGAACAATGATACCACCAAAAAAAGAATGATATCGAGATTATAGCATCCAAAATTGACTACCTACATTTATAAATATTTTCTTGGTGCCAAAATTGATCGCATAATCTAGGTAAAATCATCACTGTCATTTCAGCACTCAAATATAGCACGTTTAGTATGAGCATTTTGAAAAGGTGTTTTCAAATGGGGTGCTCTGATAGTCAAAACTGGGCCATTTAAGCAATTCTGACGAATTTTGTGCTAATTAGACATTCAACTTTTCAACTCAAAAAACGCTCATAATTCGACGTCCAGAGGCGCTCGGCAGATGAAGAAGACAATTTTGGAATCAGCGTTCGATGCTCTTTGTAGTCGTATCAATTCCATTTGAAAAGGCCACTTCGACCAAACGGACCTCCCTTGTGAGAGCTGTAATAAGGCGGAGTGGACGAAAGTCAGTTTGATGCTGACGTGTAACTTCCAATTTGCAGCTCAGATTTATTATTACCGTTGCCAGCTTAATTGGCCTTAGCTGGCACGGTGAGAAGAAGTCAATTAACACATCAACGACAATGCGATCCACTGGTGGGTCGTAAGTGTAGCGCCATTTCGGACATACGACCCACAGCTGTGTTTGTACTTCTAACAACAAGCACTGCAAGTTTACGATGGAACTAGATGCGATTTCGGCACATGTTTGGAGACTTCTATGTAGATATCTGATACACTACCTTTCGGACCATACGACCCATCAATGAAGAAAAAAACACGAGAAAGTTGACATTGATAGGTCGCATATCCGATATGGCAGAAATGGATAAAATGGCCAGTTGTGAATGTGTTAACCACTATGGGGGAAAAGTTTGTCACTCCTCTCTTTACATAAGTTGTGGTAAATCTTTCAGTCAAGTCCAAAGCAGTGGCGATCTTGGGATTTCCGTTCGGCGCACTCCGAAAAAATTTTTGGGTGCCTTCCCAAAATTTTTTTGCGAGCCCATAATTCTGAAATTTCAGGAAAAGGAGAGTTTCCCGAGGCGTGGTTGCGGCCACGCCTTCGAAAATTTTTTCTACAGGTATAATTTGAATTTCTAGACAATTTCAAAAATTATCTTGATTATTTACAAGTATAAGCAAGTCACTTAGGCATACTTTCAAAAGATCGTGGCCCATTCTTGGACGGAGGGGGGGAGGGGAAGCACAGCCTTTCGATCTGTGTGTGTGTAGTGTAGCTCCAACTGGTCAGCTGTCAATTTGAACAGCAGAGATAATATAGGAGAAGTCAAAGTATGGGATCTTAAAACTGAATTAAAACAGTTTTCATCCTTTAGATTGTTGCAAAAATCACCAACCTCATTTCAATATTGATATTGAAACATTGGGAGGCTTCACAACTTTGCACCGAATTCAATGTTCTCAAGTTGGAATTGGTGTCCCTCTTATTATGGCACATTTTGAACGAAAGATTCGATATATTTTTGCTCAAAATATGTTTGTATCTTCATAAGAACAGATCAGCAGAATCTCGCTAATTTATTTGCCCAGTAGGCATTTTTTGCCTTTTCTAGTGAAAGCACTTAAACTAAGTCGCCCGTGGCTGCTTGGAATCATTTTTATTTTTCATTTTGACCCATGGAAAGAGGTTCAAATGTTGCTTAAACCAGAGAGATTCGAGAAATTTTTCTTTGAGGAGGAGGAGGGGAAAGAGCGTGAAAAAAGAGATCTACGGTAGGTATATGAAGCTTACCATGCCCCTTGAGAAGCTTTAGAAATTTTTTTACGAGCTTATAGCCTTGAATTTGAAAAAGTAGAGCGGGACGTAGCGCTTTTTTTAAAAGCTGAAGGAATCTTCGAAACTAGATCAAAGTCTTAATCGCTTACAATTGAAACAATTTGCAGAATTTTATAATTCCGTATACAGTTATCAAAATTTAACAGCCCACTCACGGGGAGGAGGAAGCTTTCTCCGTCTCTTTTCAGTTCGCCACGGCCGGTCCATTTATTATAATCAACTGATTGGTAAATATGAACATACAGAATGCTATACCACCGGCATTATAACTCCCAGCTACCTTGTCTAAAGAATGAAGCTTGGCGAGAATATCTGTCGATTTCTGGATCGTTCGGCTAGACGGAGATACCCCTGTGGTGCCTCCAAACTTTCATTGATCCTCTTCGGTGCTCATAATCATCATCTACACTTCTGACTTTTATTGCTCATATTCATGTTTAGCGTTTGCACTTGTACATTATTAAACTTTACGCAGAAATTGCGGCGAACGCACTTTTTCTGCATTATTGCCCGATGTACTCATTCATCTGTGCGGTCTTGCACGACATTGATATCGAGAGCACGACCCATCCCCCGTCGTGTGGCACGTGGAGAGAGAGAGGGGGGGGAAGGGAAGGGGTTTTAGCATACTGCATTGGCTGTCTGCTTTTTATACTTCTGCAATCAAGTGTCATATCAGAACTTCTTTATTTTTTGCTCAATTTTCAGCTTAATTTTTTGTTCACGTATTCTGAAGGGTCCAGCGCCTGCCACTGCCTCACCCCGTACCGGAACTTTTGATTGACTGAGTGAGAGCGATAGAAGAGCGGTCGTTATCGGCAGATAGCAATACTATCGATCATGTACGACCGCTCGCTTCCATTCAACTCGGTGAATGCACCTTCACTATAGTGCAAACTCACTGGTGCTGTTGTTGCTTTCATTCCCATACTCTCTTGTTTCTTTTTTGATTCACCAGCAAAGCCCCTGTGCACTGCAGGCACCGCTTCATTCT